GAGCGTGTGTGTGTGTGTGTGCGTGTGTGTGTGAGAGAGCATGTGTGTGTGAGAGAGCATGTGTGTGTGTGAGAGCATGTGTGTGTGTGTGTCATTGAAACGCAAATTTAGCTGCAGCCAAGTGACTTTGTGCGACCCACTTTGTTCCACTCTGCGACCCACAGTTTGAAAACCCCCTGAGAGCATGTGTGTGTGTGTCATTGAAACGCAAATTTAGCTGCAGCCAAGTGACTTTATGCAACCTACCTTGTCCCACTCTGCGACCCACAGTTTGAAAACCCCCGACTTAAAGCAAGGTAATTACTTTGGTTGAAATGGACTTAAATCATGGTAAAGATGTTGGTCACACCACACACCTGTAAGTAGTTTGAACAGGAAGCTTCTGGAAAGTTAACACATAATGACGACAATGGCAAGGAATGAAAAATTCCTTTTGGCAATTATAACAGATTTTGTTTTGAAAGTTTTGTTGCTATTAGATTCTTTTTAATCCCCTCCTGCAAAGTGTTTCTATGCATTTTTATTTGAAACACCACTCAGACAGTCCTGAGAATGTCATCTGCCATGAGGCATAGGGCCAACCAATAGAAAACATGAGGGGAAATCACCATGATCCACTATATGTGCCATTTACAGCAAAACAAAAAATCTTCCTCTTTCCCTTCACATGAGTTTAGTCTTTAGATGGACCATGACTGTCATTTGGTTGATCACTGGTCATTGATTGGCACTCAAATAAGAATAGAGTGTTTTGTCGTTGTGAGCATGGGATCGATTCGAGTCCATCATTCTGAAGACTCAAGACAATAAAGCTTGTATTAGAACAGAAACGAGTTGTGCATGTGTTAGAGAATAGCTTAGTGCTTTCACAAAGGTGCCATTGTCTCTGGTGAGGAATGTTAATGGAGTGTCATTTTGTGTGTGTGTGTGTGTGTGTGTGTGTGTGTGTGTGTGTGTGTGTGTGTGTGTGTGTGTGTGTGTGTGTGTGTGTGTGTGTGTGTCTTTCTCATCACACAACCGGGCCTAACACCTGCTACATGCACACGAGTGCTAATTACCCTCTCCAAAAAAATCAGATGTCCTTTTTCTGTACACAGTCACGTAATTGATTTTTGTGTCATAACAAAAGACCTGTGATTCTCTTGAAAGCTCTGGGGTCTATAGAGCTCTTTGAGTGAGTGTCTCTCTGCATCTTGTTATTGGTGCTTTTATTCAAGGATATAACCAACATTTTTACATTTGGGGAGACCAAAGTAAAAGCTGAAGCTGTAGCTGTATATATATCTATAGCTATATATATAGCAGGTGATGATTTGGGATAAATAATCCATTAAAAATATTCGACTGTTTCAAGGCCTTAGGTAACATTTAATTTTCACGTGTGTGTGTGCGTGTATGCACTGCAAATATATTGAATAATGCATTTTGAATGTACACTATTTGAAATTAGTACTTTTGAGCAGGGGTGCAATACATTGATTATAAGTGGCAAAGACATTCATAATTTTACAAAAGATTTCGATTTCAAGTACTGTTCTTATGTTTCAATTGAGAATGATTTCTGAAGGATCATGTGACACTGAAGACTAGAGTAGTGATGCTGAAAATACAGCTTTGAATCTCAGAAATAAATTACATTTTAAAATATGTTAATATTAATGCAATTTAAAATGTATTTGAATAGAAAACAGCTATTCTGAATACCAATAAAGTTTCCCAGTATTGCTGTTTTACTGTATTTTTGATCAAATAAATGTAGCCCTGGTTAGACTTTTCAAAAACATGAAAAAACATTTGCAGACCCCAAACTTTTGAGCAGTAGTATATCGTTGGTAAAATGAACACAAGGGTATGACTTACAGGATATATTTCAGTATCTGTCAAACATTAAATGTGCTGTCTGCTTTGTGTAAGGTAAACTTTTATGAAGAAGTTTCATTGCCACTGGCTGAGATTACACAAGACTTTATATTAAACAAAGTACAGCTCTTGCAGATAAATTAGATTGTAGTGTAGGTTAAAAATGTTAAGTTCATAAAGTTACACAAAGAACTTCCAAACATTGGTATAAAAAATGATAATAGTATTCCTGCTGCTCGAACTGTAGGGCCAATGCAACCGCAAGGTCATGGGTTCAGTTCCCAGGGATGAAAGAGATTGAAGGCTGGAAGTGATGCAATGTTTACCTAGAATGTAAAACTGTGTGTGTGTGTGTGTGTGTGTGTGTGTGTATTAGGCTTGCCGCGATTGACGGTGATACCGGTGTTAAGCCGCAACACCGGTTACGTCACTTGCCCACCGCGGCACCGACCCCCACCGTCGTTTAGATTATTTATAGTAATAAAAATAATTTAGTTCAGTAAAAGAACAGACACTACAATTAAAAACTGAACGCGGCTGCTCAATGTAGCATACCGAACGACAGTCGCATCACAGATCAGTTTTAATTTCTCCAGTGAGGAGAGCGAGTCGAGCTGACTGACGAGAAGAGTGAGGTGAGACAGACAAGATGATCGCGGATGATTTAGTTTCGAAACGAAATGCAAAAGCGCCTGTTTGGCAGTATTTTGGATATTGAAAAGCCTGTTGACTTTTGCCGTTTATCTAAGCTGATTTTGGAATGAACTTTGTTTCCTATTTAATTGGTTCCTCCTTGTTTGCTGATTTTTACTTTATTTAAACTTTGTGTAATTCATGTATTTTATTTGACATCAAGGTGTATGCCGTGCCTAATAACAATAAACGTTCTACGTTTCTTATTTATTTGGTTATATATTATACATGTTTACTTAGCCTATTTCCAGTTTTGTATACCTATTTAAACTTTATGTAAGTTTTGTTATTTTATATTAGGCATAACCTGCCCTTTAGCATGGTGTGTTTTTTTATTTGTTTTGTTAATAAAAGTTCTATGTTTTATATATAGGCTAAAGTGAGTTTGCCGTTGTATTTTGTTGTTGCATTCAAGCAATTGACGCCGATCTGCCGCTAATTTGAAAGTGAAAGTAAAATGCGCACGCTGCTTTTAAAAGCGAAGGAAAGCGAGGAAAAGAGGGAACGCCCCGCCCCCGCGGTGATACCGGTGTTGTCACACGTCGATTAACCGGTGGGAAAATGTCCTCACCGTCCCAACCCTAATATATATGCGTTAGGCTAACCCGAGACTTGTCATAGCACTTGCATATTATTCGCCTTTTGTTGATTTTGATTGCTTCTGTTGTCCTCATTTGTAAGTCGCTTTGGGTAAAAGCATCTGCTAAATGACTAAATGTAAACATAGGCTACTGCATCTGGTGTTAACCATGATATCATATGATAGCCATGCTGTGTGTGTTTGTGTGCAGAGCACTTTGCGTGTGTGGTGAAGGTGCTGTACAGTCTGCAGTACACTCAGGCTCTGGCCGCTCTGTCCATCAGATTCAGTCGTGAGGAGAGACTCGCCTGGAGCAACACTGCAGCTGCCAAGAAGGTGCCGCAAATTACCGATCAAAAAAACGTTCTCAGACTTACTTCAGCCAATTATAGCAAGGATGTGTGTTAGAATAGTTTCTTGAAGTTCTGCTTTGTGGAACAACAATATAAATTGGTTCACAATTGGCGCCTTAATGTAGATCCAGTTGATGTTTGGTCATTGGTGTGTATATTTGTATTGTTTATTATTCTCAATGTGGCTCATCCAGTCAGACTTCAAAGCTGGAACTATCCATTTTATGATGATTAAATTGCACATTAAAACCCTTGAGGATAAGCTAATTTTATTAAGAGAAGGAATGTGTTATTGGCCCTCAGTGCTGTTTGTTTAAGGGGGTGATCGTAATAATGTTCAGATAACCCAGAGTGAGGAAATCCTTCAGATAAATCTCACTCAGAGGTTTTCGCTAGCACAGAAGAGATCGTTAGCAATGGTTCTGCACTCAATTAAATGACTCTTTTTGGGGCTTTGTGGGAAATAAATGGAGTAATGTGAAGAGTTTCATCATGTCGTCAGTCTGAGTGCTTTAATTCCACATTATAGAGTCACACGACATCCCGCTCTCTGCCTGAAATTTTCATTGCTTTTGCAATTTTGCCGACATTTAAAATAACACATGGAATGTGTTTCAAAACTTAGCAAGCTGCCTTCCTAGACAGCATTATAGGTGCATTCAGATGTTTAAAAAAAATGGTACAATAGCAGTGATTCCAGTCTGATGGGAGAGTAATTTAAAACATTGTTTTCTTTCATTCATGCCATTTCACTCGCAGAACACGCCAAACTCTGACAAATCATGGGAGTCGCTCCTGGGTCATGTGATCTCTGAGCTGACGAAGGCCAAAGATGTGTATGACACCAACTCTGAGGAAACATTCGTGGTGAGTCACAGCACAACAGAACCGTTTTATCACACCGTTATATAGGAGTCTTTTTCTAGTTTTGCAATTATTAATTCATTTATATGCATTGCAATGATGAGTTGACCTAACAAAACATGCTGATAATTTGATTTGCCTTTATGATTAATCTTACAAAGTACACTTACTGGAGAAAAAAAAATGATGCTCATGTCGTCGACTTCATTAGCAGTTATAATGAGAATATGTAGTGCAGCAACAGCGGGGTTTTTTGTTGTTGTTTTTATGAAGAAAAGACACTTATCCAAGGGACCCATTGTTGAGCTTGCCTTGCAAACATGTCATGAAACGCATCTTTTCACTTTCCTAGACTAGTCTTTTTCTAGTCAGATCTTTTTTTTATTTTTTGCATCTCAAATCAGGATACATTACAATAAAACTAAATTGGTACTTGGAACTTTACACTTTACAAATGTAAAATAATTAAATCGGTTATGTTTATGTGCAAGGACTATGTATGTGTGTTCACTATTTTTCAAACGTTTGGGGTCAGTAAGATGTATTTATTTATTTTATTGTCTGTTTTTCTCGCCAAGGCTGCATTTATTTGATCAAAAATACAGTAAAAACTGTTATATTATGAAATATTATTACAATACTTTCTTAACAAATTTTCTATTTGAATATATACTAAAATGTAATATATTCTTGTGATGGCGAAGCTGAATTTTCAGCAGCCATTACTCTCTTTTACTCCATATTTATTTATTTTTTAGATTGTTTGATTGAAACTTCAAAAAGAACATCATTTATTCTAAAACATATTTTTGTAACAATGTAAAAGTGCCGTTACTTTTGATCAAATAAATGCAATCTTGCTGAATAAAAGTATTCATTTCTTTCAAAATAACTTTGAATTTCATAATACCTAAAGTTTTATGACAGCCAGCCAAAGAAGAGTCATTCTCTATTCTAGAGGAATATGGAGCTCACTGTTGTTTGAGCCCGAAGCTTGTTCTGATCTCTGAGGAAGCGGCTTTATCAGAAGGGAATGAGCTGTTATTAATGGTGTCTTCTCTCTGTAGTTGAGCTCCAGTGTGTGGTCTCCTCAGTCCATTGAGCTCAGCCTACAGCACTTCTGTCTGCCCTTCCTGAGACTGTCCTGTTTACTGCAGCACCACCTGTATGGAGACGGCTTACCTGGCTGCCTGGTACACACACACACACAGACACACACACATTTCATCCTAGTTCCTCAGAATCAGTTGTGGTTCCAACAAAGTGGCTGCCGAGCAACAGACCGTATTTAGTATACAACTAGAACTTGTCGAGCAGGGTTTGAACCAAATAAGAATGCATGCTGCAGAACAGCAGGTTTTATGACACTAAGCAGTCAAATATCTTGAATCGTGTCAGTTCTCACAGTCATGGCTGATTAGGACAAAACTTTGACAAATCGTCGCCTTGGAATGATAAGGTTCTGTCTGACATTTTTGTCAAAATGGAGTTATTCACATATTCTGTGACAGCTTATTTACATTATGTGATGTTTCTTTTGTAAGCTGTGTACATTTTGGGCCTTTTTTTCTATGGTTTTAAGTCTATGGAACGCAAAAAACTCAAGATCTCAAAACTGCTCAGAATGCAGATAGAACCTTATAATTCCAAGGCGGCGAAATGTTAAAAAGACGAGGTTCAATTTGAGTGAATTGAATTTTTTTAAAGATTTTTTTATATATATATTTAATGTTTGTTTTGTTTGTTTTTTTTTTATCTCAAATCAATTTAAATTTTTTGACTTTATTTATAAACGTTTCTTTTATTAAAGAATATCACAGGACACAAACACACCACAACATTCCATTTAAAAGAATGGTTCATTTTGATTTCCTGGTAACTTTAATATGAAGAGGTTTCCATAGAAAAAGCATACATTGAAAACTGAAAGAGTCACGTTTGAGCATTTTGACCAGGCCCACAGCAGCATTTGCTCAACCTGTTGTGGGTCTGTTTATCCGACCAGTGGTAGGATGGGCAGAAATGAGAGATTTCACCTTCGACTTTTTTTTTTATTAAATGTTACTAAAAAGATTGTTTTGACTGTCAGTGAAAGGTCATGTCATGATTTTCTTGTCTCTCTTCAGTCTCTATTAGTTCAGGATCCGCAGTGGGCCGCCCCTCGCCTCCTGCACCTCCCAGACAATTACAACACCATCTTCCAGTACTACCACAGGAAATCCTGCACCAGCTGCGGCAAGACCCCCAAAGACCCTGCGCTGTGCCTGGTGTGCGGCGCGTTCGTGTGTCTGAAGGGTCACTGCTGTAAACAGCAGGGCGTCTGTGAGTGTGTGCTGGTGAGTGTGTAGCCAAATCTGCACGCTTCAGTTTGAAAGATCCTTACGCTGATGATGATGTTTATAATTATGTGTTTTTTAAAAAACCAAAGCACTCTCAGCACTGCGGAGCAGCGACTGGTATCTTCCTCCTGATAAACGCCTCGGTCATCATTATCATCCGAGGCCATCGCTTCTGTCTGTGGGGGTCTGTGTATCTGGACGCTCATGGAGAGGAGGACAGAGACCTACGGTAATTTCTCACTGCTCTGATGGCCAGATATTGCATCTAGATTTAATTCCCAGGTGCCAGTAGCTGGGTCAGAAATATACTTTTCCATTAAAGAGCTATATTTGCACCCTGGGATTGACTGAGGGGATTTTTTTTTTGCAATCTTTGTTAGGGCAGTTTTTATAATTACTATATTAAATTAATCTGTGCTGTTTTTAATGCCAAATACTTAAATTTAATCAATTTCAATCGATCAGAGTACTATAGACTGTTACCAATCAAATCGTATCAATATAAAGCAAAAGTATCTGATATGTAGAATACGTAAATACTTCAAAAAATGTGTTTGGGGAAACGGCATGTCATATTTTATCTACACAGACTAAATAAGCTGAGAACCGTTTATGAATTCATTTATTGCTTTTTACAGATTTGAAAATGAAGACTTCACATTGGTTATCTTAGTAGCAAGAAAAACTAATTATATACAGAAAGCGTGCATAGAAAGTTAGCTCTCAATGAAGTGGACAGTGACTTTAGTTCTGCACTCACTCTCACAAAAACTCCCTTTATAAATACCGAAGCTGTTTACGCTGCAAAATAAATCATCTTACATTTGTATCTGAACTTTAATGATGAGAGAATTCACAAGAGAGCAGAATTCAGTCCGTGAACGAACACACACACACTGAACAATGCTGGCGTTTTCACGGGGGGCTATTCTAAACGCTTGATTGGCCATCACATTGATAAGAAACATGTGATTGATTTCAGTTCTCAGTGCTGCAAAAAAGACATCTAATGCAATGTGAGCCGATCTAAATGTAATTCATGTTCACTTTTAATCTTGCATTTTGTTCATTTTTGTGCCATTCTTGCCCAGTAGTCATTTATTTGTGAAACCGAGTTCATTTCCCTGTTCATTTCTTTTATAAAGAAAATGGTTTCCATTTCCTGCTGTGACCTCTTGTTTTTTTTCCTGTTCCGTAGTCGAGGAAAGCCTCTGTATTTATGTGAGGAGAGATACCGCGTTCTGGAGCAGCAGTGGGTCTCGCACACCTTCGACCACATCAACAAGCGCTGGGGTCCCCATTACAATGGACTTTAACAGTTCAGCCCACAACCTGGAGAGGACGGGTCACATGATGCCAGTGCCAGCCTCTGTGGCATCCTCTGATGATTTCTGTCGTGTAATATAAAGAAAACCTGCATTGAGTTGGCCACAGCCTGGGTTCATGTGAAGTTTAGTGTACAATCAAGCTTATTCACTAACAGCGTGTGTGTGCGCGTGTGTTTTAAAGTGATTTTTGGTGTGGATTTATAGGAGAGAATTTTGTTTTGTCCCAGCAAGCTCAAGGTGAGTGTCTAGTCTGTTGGACGCACAGAGTGGAATAATACTCCCGTTCTGTAACTTTTGGAAAACTGACATCGTTTTTGAGGAGACAGACTCTTAAAAAAACTATTTTGACCAATGTTAAACAAATCATGTACAGATATCAGAATTAATATCAAAACCTTGAGTGCTAAAGTTACCAAGACTCTCAGCATACGCCCCCACCCACCCCACCCCACCCCATGACCACATCATGCTATTTGAGTTATTTGAGAAATACATCTCATAAGACCGATTGTGGGTTCAAAAAGCAGGGTATGATGTGAAATATCAACCGATTAGAGCTAAAGTGAGATTTGTCTGACTCGAGGTGTAGTTGCAGTCATCCTCAGGTATTTTATTTTATATATTTTTTTGTTTTGTAGTCTCAGATAAAAGATTTTAATATTTAATAAGTGCTGCTATTCATTGTTTGAAAAAAGTAAATTATACCTTTGTAAAAATAAAAAAAAATCGTTTTCTTTTATTTTTCCTAATGGTTTTGTTTTTGATGGTGGTTGGCTGGTCTGTTGAGTTTATTATAAAAATAAAAAATCCCCTACAACCTTGTAGCACATATTTAATTTCTAGAGACGGAGCTAGTCGTTAAATAATGATCTGTGACCCTTTTCCTCACATAAATGTCATAACGGTAACCTTAGAATATATTTAAAACAATGTTTTTTTTTCATTAAGAAAATGAAGTTTGTTTTAGAATAAAGTATCTTTGCATCATTTTCATAAGTCGAACATCATTTGCCCCAAATTCTTATTAATTGTAACAATTTACAATTAATGTAAGTTGATGTTTTTTCTCCTTTTTCTTCTTAGTAGTGTGTGTGTGTGTGTGTGTGTGTGAGTGAGAGAGAGAGAGAGAGAGAGAGAGTCTATGTGTTTCTTTATTGTAAAGAGTGGGCAGATGAGTTTAATTTGTCAGAAAAATAATGCAATACAATTAAGGTTCTGAAAATCTGCTTGATTTTTTTTATGCTATTTTTTTATAGTTTGGTGAATCTCAGGAATATTCAAGAATATTCCCTGATCATTATTTCACCTTTTCTTTTGGTTAAGGGTGAAATAATGATCTGGGAATATTCTTGAATATTCCTGAGATTCACCAAACTATAACCAGAAAATCTAACCACATACCCACCAAGTCAGTTGTCCCTCAAAGTTTGATTGTCTTTACGAAATTCTAATTACATGATGCCTGTACTGGTGTCAGATGGTCCATAGGGGGCAGTGTTTACACTGAGTTCTGGTTCAAAGAGCCATTTGATGGCTGTTCTGTTGGTCTTGTATATCTAGAGGCTCAATGCACATTTGCAAAAAACTCTGAAGTTAAGAAAGTTAGTCATAATTATCTTGACTGATTTTGTAGCAATTGGCTTCCATGACCCAATTTCTCCTCCTCTAGGATTTTGCAGCTAGTGAAGTTTTCTCTTGTTTAAAGACATTATTTGTGTGTTGTTGGGATGATATTTTAATGCGCACACCACTCGGTATTGAATTCCTGATCTGAAGTGTTCCTGAGAAAAGGGTTGTCACTTAGTTCTACTGCTTTGAACTCGGCCAGATTGTGTGTAGATCCTTTATGCAAAAGTATCAGACCAAAAGAACTTTTTTTTTTTTTTAATGTTATCAGAAAGTTAAAAAAATATAATTTGGTACTTGATACAAATAGACATTTTAGCGAAGGCTAGTTTTCCAGTACGATACATGTGGTGTTCCTCAAAGCTCTGTCCTCGGACCATCTTTGATTGTGTAATCTGTAACTGTAGAGAGGGCATTTTGCATGCACAAGTTAATTATTTGAAAATGCATTAAACTGGATGACGTCAAATTGAATATTTTAGCCCAGTCCAGTGATGGACATGTATGGTGTGGCACACAATTTCTTTATTTTATGCAGCTCCTATGTTAGCAAATGGTTTAGTTTTAGTACGTTCTCATTTAATCCTTGCCCCCTTAAAAAGTAAGATCAAGCTTCACATTGACATAAAATGACCCCAGTCTAAACCTTATTGTGATTCACCTTGCCTGACACCACATTGAGAGTTCTTGGGGGGGGGGGGGGGGATAATAAATGGTCCCCTTTTTGTTTTGATTGTATATAGAAATTAAATGCACACATTTAAATGAAGTTTGCAGTACAGTTTCCATATGATATTTAGATGTGTGGGTCACAATCAAATTAATGACATCAGTGGAGCCCTTGCAATAATAATAATCAGTGTGATTACAGTGACACGGGATGTCCAGTTATATTGAGGGCATTTTGCTTTTTGTTTGTTGCCTACTGAAAACGGACAAGCACCCCCAACACCACACACACACATATTCAGACACACACCAGAAAAAGCATGTGTGGTTTGTATTGATCAGTTTGATTGGTAGGTATTGATTCTCATTGCTGCAATCATGCCATGCTGGAGGGAGGATGTTTTCAGTGCACTTGAAGTTTGCTTTCTTTTCTTATTTTGTCTTGATTTCTTGCATGCTGCTGTTTTTTTTTTTTTTTAAGAGAGTTCGTACTCTCTTTCTCAACTTTGTATAGACAGACAGTTGTGCTAAGTGTGACGGGTGGATAATGCTGGTGTGTTCTCCTGCGGTGAATGCTTGTCAGGCAGGCAGTAATACAGTACATTACTGTAGGTGCTGATTCAGACTTTATGATGTCATCTCTGAAAGGGTGACTTTTAATGCAAAATGTAACATATGTGAATAAAATATACAGATGCTCTGATTTGCCTTCGTGTGTTTTTGTTGTCTTTTTTTCTCCAAAACTTTTAATCCAGAAATTTTAAATTGTGTCTATTAAAATATTATATAAATTATTTAAAAAATAAAATGAGTAACTAATAAAATATTGTATAAAATAATTAAAATATCACATAAAAATTAAAAATATATATTTTGCTCTCACCAGCTGCTTTATGCAATCATATTTTATTACAATATTTATTTGGTAACACTTTAGGTTAGGGAACTCTATTCAGAAAGTTGCTTATTAACTCTTATTTAATAGAGAATGTGTTCCTTAATCTAAAGTGTTACCATTTATTTATTTATCATTCAGTGCCGGCCCTTGTTTTTTTTGTTTTTTTTTTGCTTTTTGCATTATTATTTCTCAGTATATTACAGTTCAGAAGTGTGAGGTCAGCAAAAAATCGAAAGAAAATAATGCTTTTATTTAGCAAGAGTGCATTTTTAACAGTACAGAGACAGAAAAGAAAATGCATAATTTGTTTAGAAAAAACAATATGTAGGCTTGAAAGCATGATGTTTTAATTTAATAAATACAACCGGGAGATAATTTTTTTTTATTTAAGCATTATATTAATTAATATTAAATCAGATCAGCTAGAGTAGAACAAATGTCACTGATTTTATAGCTTATTCATGCTGAACTCTTCATTCCCCCTGTGTTATTGTTTCATTTTCTTATGAAATAAATCACAACTCACAGTGACAAAGTATTTACCAGGTAGAATAACGCTGTAGTTAAATAAAGTGATTTATTGAAATGAATTATTTTAAAGGCATTGTCTAAATGTGAGCTGTGTATCATTTCCAGGTGCCGCCATTGAATTTCTCTTGTTTCATTTAATATTGTTTGGCTGTTAAAGTTTCTAATCTGCAAATGTGGCAGCAGTTCTTTTTGTTGAGGTTTGAGTCTTGTCTTTTCTCACGAGGGTTCACTGTGGCCACTAGAGGCTCAGTTTATCAAGGCCGAGAGAGAACATAATGACCCTTACTGTACCAATTAGTTACAGCAGATAATGTGAATTCTGCCAAAGTTAACACAGAACATACCAGTCTGTTTTCTGATTTATTGTTGGTAAAGCCAAACACATTTACAAACGTGTTATAATTGAGCAGACAACAGACAAAGTATTAGATTCGCTGCATTAGATTCAGCGTCTGCTAAATGAGCGCACTATTCATCTGCCTAATGGCTCAATCTTCAATGAAAGTCGTGCTGCGGCCCAGAAACCAAACCCCTGTAAACATGTTTGTGCGCTGAATGGAAAGTGGGTTGGCAGCACAATAGCTGACCAGTACACCGCCTACATTGTGCATGGCATCATAGCGTATTAGCTTAGCAAACTCTAATTGTAGTTTCTGTTTATGCAGGTTTGATTGAAAAGTGCTTTGTAATGGATGCAGTGAATAGTTTGATGCCGCATGCATTCCAGCAAATACAGTAGGTATCATGATCTTCTGAAATAGATTTTTTGCATTTTGAACTTCATTTTTAAAGTCCACCTTCCCAAATTCTGCAGAAATGATTGCTTTTTACAGTGCTTTTTATATGATTTAACCCATCATCCAGCTGTTTGTAAGTGTTAAATTGCACCCGTGCTTGTGCTGGGACTGGTCATGTGTGTGCACACTGCTTCCTCTCTGAAGCGCTCACACAGGAACTTATCAAATTCTAGTGAATTATTAACCTCAGGACAGCTAGGAAGGTTTGAAAATCACTTCGGATATGTCAGAAACCAGCTATGGCAGGTAGGTCTTCTCTAAATGATTGTTTTAACTGGTTACAAAAAAAAAATAGAATGGCAAAAAAGCCATTAGTGCAGTCCAAGGCCACGAAGGTAGACATGATTACAGGTGATGTTGAGTGTGCTGTGATGGGTTATTTGATCATCCACAGAACAGCATCTACACAGCTTGAGCTAGTGTACGTTTACAATTAGAACGAACAGTTCCGTTATTGCATATGTTAATTATATAATAAAAGGTAGATAATAAAGCTGGAATGTAAAGGTTTTTGGCTAATTATTCAATATTCTTACAGGAAATGCCAATGGAAGAGCTGATGCGGTCCAAAGCAGGTAAGAAACATCACCTCGAGCATTTTAGAAAGATTATTTGTATTGATTTCATGTGACCTAAGAGAACCTAAAGGAAAAAGAAAGTTATTACACCATATTAGCTATACATAGTGTTCAAATTGAATTAAATTGAATCATAAATGTAAGCTTTTTTTTTTTAAGTAAACGTGTGTGTTTGTGTGTGTGTGTGTGTTTCATAGCTCTGAGGAAATACAGAGGACAGAGTTTTATCATCTCCAAGGCAGGATATGGTGAGAGAGAGTGTGATGTTTCTTCATTTTGGTGATGTTTAATATGCATCACACGCCGCTGAAGAACGTACATCTCTGCACTGCAGACTGATAGCACAAACATGCATGTCAGTGCTTGCATTGGCATCTAATCACATCTAGCTAGCATCATTTTTCATCGACCAAAAAAATCAAGAGATGCTGTCTTGTGCTAAAGTTGACCCTAATTAAAGTATGCCGCTAAATCTTATTTAATTATCAAAGAATCATAAAATAACAATTGGTCACAGCCTGTACTTGTAATTCTGTATTTATTCTAAGGGCTCGTTCACACCAGCTTCATAGCCAGTAGAGTTGTGATGGCTCATGTGCACTGCTGGTGCACTCAGTTAGTGCGGATCGATGTGTCAGCAGTCATACAGTAAGAGGTCGTACTTGTATCTAAATCCAGCGTTTACTGGTGGATGGACGGCGCAGTCTGTCACATTCCCGTAACAGGATTAGAGTGGACAGCACTGTGCACCTTTGCCCTGAATGAAGTCAATGTGTGAGAGGGGAGCTTAGAAAATTAGATTATGTTGTAAAACCTTCTTTCTTTCTGCCTGTGCTGCCAACTCTCATTTCACTTACACGCTCACATGACCAGTTCTGCCACGCTTCTCTAGAAACCAACTCTGTCTGTCCATTTCTCGCTTGTGTTGTTGTTGTGTTGCAGTGGTAATGTAAACCCATCAGCCTCCGTGTGTGGTGTCTGCTTTCCTCTACACGTTTCCCACACTGAGAGAGAGCGTCAGGCCGTTGTCATGCGGTTGCTAAGGTGTTCTTAGTGATGGTGGGTTTTAGTGTACTAGTTATGCAGTTGCTAGTGTATCTTAATTTTTGTTCTTAATAATTGTAATAAACTTCTGGCTATTTTGCAAATATCTTTACATTAAACAAAAGGTCATTGCAGGAAGTTAAACTTCTAAAGCCTGACATATGATTTGATTTCATTTTATTTGTAATGGAACAGTTTATTGAAAATTTGCATACTTGTTTTTGTTGAGTATCATATTTTATACATCAGGTTTTTATGGCACATGCAGTTTTTTTTTCAACTTGTTTACACACATGAAGTATCAGTAACCTAAACTGATATTTAATATATTCAATGTTTTGATAGTGTAGCCTATTACAAGCCCCTCTCACCTGTGTTTTGAGCTGTAGTATATGTAAGGCATAATCAATGCGGTTTGCGTGCATTAAAGGATTTTAAATGCATGACATGGAGGCCAAGAACCACCCGAGGCGAATAAATGTAAGATCACATTTATTTGAATGAATTATAGCATTTATTTCAATTAATTATCGATTGAGAGAGAGAGAGAGAGAGGTTTGTGTGTTTTACCTGCGTCTGCGCATCTCTCTAAAAACAATTAATTGCTTCAAAAACAGCGATTTTACCACCGTTTTTGAAGCAATTAATTGTTTTAAACTTCTAGACTATTTTATTAATAAAAATCGAGTGGAAGTGTTGACAACAAGTTTATGTGTGTGCGCATTAATATGGAACTGTGATTAAACTGACTTGGAACTACCTGTGCATTAAACTGTTTTAATGCATACCTGCCAGCCAATCAGAATCCAGTATTCAGACAGACCGTGGAATAATATATATTCGTGTCGGGTGGTTCTTGGCCTCCACGTCCTGCATTTAAAATCCTTTAGTGCACGGCAAACCATTGATTATCCCTTACATATATAATATAAAATGATTACAAATAAAAGTATATTAAAAGTTAAAATTCAAAATAAACATTCATTTATAGTCCTTTTTACTTTACCGAAGTACGTTCAAAATGAAATACTTTTGTACTTTTACTTGAGTAAAACTGAAAAGGAGTATTTACTTTTACTGGGGTAAGATTTTGTTAGGTTACCTGTATTTTACTCAAGTAGCCTACTTGTTTTGTGTACTTCGTCCACCACTGCACACACAGTATGGTGTGATATAGCAAGAATATAGGGCTCATACTGAAAGAAGAAAAAAAGAATCACATCAGTTTTATTCAGAGGCAAAACTATGCAATTTGGTGCAGCTGTTGTTATTCATATGGCCAAAATGTGAGAAGAAATTCTGCTAGCTTGTAAAGCAGTGAACTCTTTATGACAGCGTAACAGATTACTAACACAAAATGATATAAATATCAGCCGTCACTCCATATCTCCAATATGATCTCTTAGTAAGATGATATTTAAATGCTTAGTTTTATGATCTAAGCTCAGTATTTTCAAAACATATAATGCTGTGCAATGCAATGATGATTGAGAGATGAGCAATTAAACGTTCCTCAAGAGCCTGATGATCATATTTGATGATACTCACATTCGAACATGATTGTTTTCTAAAAATGGTGTATGGGTAATTAAATTAAACACATCTTGAAATACTACCTCTTATGTTTTATAAAAATCAATAAAAAAAATCCACAAAAACACAAGTGAATAATACTAAAAAGGCCTTGAACTTGTTTCAAAATGAGAAACTAGCAAATCACAAAAGGTCTTTCATTTTCATTCAATTTGCACATCAAATATTATACAGCACACTGTAAAAAAAAATCTGTGATATTTACGGTAAAATACCGGCAGCTGTGGTTGCCAGAACTTCACCGTAAAAACTACGGTAGCAACATCACATTTATTTGAATGAATTATAGCATTTATTTCAATTAATTATCGATTGAGAGAGAGAGAGAGAGAGGTTTGTGTGTTTTACCTGCGTCTGCGCATCTCTCTAAAAACAATTAATTGCTTCAAAAACAGCGATTTTACCACCGTTTTTGAAGCAATTAATTGTTTTAAACTTCTAGACTATTTTATTAATAAAAATCGAGTGGAAGTGTTGACAACAAGTTTATGTGTGTGCGCATTAATATGGAACTGTGATTAAACTGACTTGGAACTACCTGTGCATTAAACGGTTTTAATGCATACCTGCCAGCCAATCAGAATCCAGTATTCAGACAGACCGTGGAATAATATATATTCGTGTCGGGTGGTTCTTGGCCTCCACGTCCTGCATTTAAAATCCTTTAGTGCACGGCAAACCGTTGATTATCCCTTACATATATAATATAAAATGATTACAAATAAAAGTATATTAAAAGTTAAAATTCAAAGTAAACATTCATTTATAGTCCTTTTTACTTTACCGAAGTACGTTCAAAATGAAATACTTTTGTACTTTTACTTGAGTAAAACTGAAAAGGAGTATTTACTTTTACTGGGGTAAGATTTTGTTAGGTTACCTGTATTTTACTCAAGTAGCCTACTTGTTTTGTGTACTTCGTCCACCACTGCACACACAGTATGGTGTGATATAGCAAGAATATAGGGCTCATACTGAAAGAAGAAAAAAAGAATCACATCAGTTTTATTCAGAGGCAAAACTATGCAATTTGGTGCAGCTGTTGTTATTCATATGGCCAAAAGAAGCAGCATTCAAAGAGTTAATGAGTATGTGAGACTCGTTTAGACACCAGTGTGTTGTCTGCTGCGTTGCAATATAACAGTGTTAGATAAAATTCTGAATTTATGAATGTCTTTCTTTCGATTCATGAGTGTGGATGTAAATTGAACATTCGGCAGGATGCTGAACTGGAAACTGAATTATACTGAAACTAAATTGACGTTGGGGTAAACTGTAGCATTCTTGGAAAATAAGCAACCTTCCACTAAAATATCAAACTATACTACCAGTCAAACATTCAGAATAATTCATGTTTTTGAAAGAAGTTTCGCATGAATTCATTTGATCAAAAATACAGTAAAAACAGTAATATTATGAAGTATTATTACAATTTAAATGAACTGTTTTCTTTTAAATTGCACCTTTAGAAATCATTCTAATATGCTAAATATGCTGAAGCGGCTAAATCTGTTTTCAACATTCATGATGATAAAAACCACTATTAATATTTGAGCACTACTAATAATTGAGCACCAAATCAGCATATTAGAATGATTTCTGAAGATCATGTGACACTGAAGACTGGAGTAATGATGCTGAAAACTGTCATCACAGAAATAAATTACATTTTAAAATATATGCAAAATAGATTTTAAAAAAGAGAAAACTTTTAAATTGTAATAATATTTCACAACTATTGCTTTTTATTGTATTACTTTCAAAAAAGCGTAAATAATCCAACGAATTATTCCAAACTTTTTACAAGCGGTGTATAAATTAAATAGTTTATATATTGATTATGAATATCATAATTGATAATGATTATGATAATTATGATTGTCAGGTCATGCATTCATTATTTTGCAGCCTGTTTACTATAACTCAATTCAAATTGATTTCAAAAGTAAATTCAATTGTGATTTAAAAGACATTTTCAGTTCAATATTGAATAGCACACAATCATAGTATTTCAATTTTTATAAGCTTGAAGACCATTCTGTTGTCCTTGTGTGGCAAATGCGTGTTTCTTCCTAAAAAACGACATCAGTCGAAATTTAGCTGTGCTCTCTACCTTTCCAGAAAATAGATGAGAGGTATGAAATATCCATCTCACACGGCACAGGCGAAGCATCCATCGCTCTAAACGCTCGTGCTATTAACACAAATGGATAACAATTATGACGTGACCACACAAAACAAAACATTATATTTCTAATTTAAATAATTTAGAGGGATGAGTTGAGCCAAAAGAAAAATGAAAATTCTGTCATCGTATATTTTCATACCTTCATGTTGTGTCGAAACCTCAATGATTTCCTCCCTATCAAATACAAAAGGAATGATAGGCAGGATGTTCATTGTGTCAGGGACTGGCAAGCTACAAAAATGACAAAAGAGAACCATAAAAGTTTAATATAAGTTCTGAAGCCACTCAGTAGCTTTATGTGAGGAGCAGACTAAAAATCAAGGACTAGACTGAACATCTTAGCTAAAAATCTTCCCTCTGGTGTTCCTTAAGAGACATTTTCCTACTGTGCTATTATGAATATGCATATATCAAAAATATAGCACATTTGGTCTAGTCGCAAAACACGTTTTGTATAGAGATGTCAAATCTGGGGTGTATTCCAGAAAGTGTGTTTTGTTGGAAACACAGAGTTTGTTGAACCTCCTTTCTGGAATACACCCCTGATGTGGCACATTATGATGTGTGATATTTCAATATATGTGAACGTTAACGAGATGAGACCTGCCGCAGATGAGAAATCATACGACTAATGAATTAGCTCCTGTCTCACACATACTGTATCTATTGTATGGCTTCAGAAGATGTGAAACATTACACACAATTTGTCTATTTTTATTGGCCATTGTGTTATTTTTTGCAGCATCACAGCCACTGTCAAACTTTCATTTTCATTGTATGGAAAATAGCAGTGAACACTAACTGTGAACTCTGCTCATTTTTTCCTTCTGTGTTCCATGAAAAATAAAATCATACAGGTTTGGAATGACATGAGGGAAATGATGAGAGAATTTACTTTTTTTTTACATTCACCATAAAGGCGAAATAACGTTACTGGCATTTCAGGGGCAAACAAGCTTTGTAAAAGCACAGTGAATTTGCGTGACCAACTTACACCATGTTAAAATCTGCATGGGGAATCTTTTGCACTCACAAAAATTCCGATCACATGGGGTTCCTACTGGAATAACTGGATTTCACCCAGACAAATTTGAGAACAATTTTAAATGTGGCCTCACCTTGAAAAAAATTCCCGATCATGTAGATTCCTAATCCTATTGAAATGATAAAAAAAAATGGTAAATGTAAATCATTAGAAACATAATTCATCCAAAATATGTCTTTTAACTATATAAAAATATGTGTAGAAATGGAGTTAAATCTATGCTTTAAATTACTTGTTATGTTCAGGAGGTCTTTCTATGGACTGTATCCCTACAAGTCAAGCATGATCGGACCGGAGTCGCTGGCAGATCCATCTTCTGATTGGGACATTGTGGAAACAATTGGGAAAGGAACCTATGGCAAGGTCTACAAGGTCATCAATAAGAAAGATGGAAGTCAAGCAGCCGTGAAAGTTTTGGATCCCATTAATGTGAGTCATTGTTGGGCCTCCTGAGATTTTCTTCATTTGTGGCATCTCTTCTGTGTTCAGTGTATTGCAGCTGTGACGTGAACACATGGAAACTACGAATTCCATGATTTTACCCTATTTTCTTTTTCTCCGCTCTTTGAGAGTCTTAAACCTTAATCGGTATAGCGTAGACCCAATAGATTCAAAAGGGGGCAGTGTGACATTACTCTTCAATAATGATTCTGAAACATGCTGAAAATGTACTGTGAATAAGTAACCGTTGTCTTTGTTCTCTAGTCAAGTTAATTTATTCATTTAGGATCTAAGACTCTTAACAGTGTTTCCAATGATTTAAAAGCCGGAAAAAAAACATATTTAAAGGCATTTCTTCCCCTCTTGTCCTCCGGCTTGTTTCAGAATCCCAGTCACACTAACAGAGTAAGTAGATATTCTTCCTAAATTTCCCCCACAGATATTTTCATATTATAGCACTATTGATTTTTTGGAAAACTTGTCAGGATGTTTTATTTTTATGCCTAATGCTGATATTCCCCATGTAGTGTGATGCCATTAGTGCTGCTTGATCCCCCATAACCCCCTGCTGCACAGTGCATGCATGGCTGCCTTCATTGTACCCATCGACTACCCTGCTGCCAGTCATACAAGCACATGCATGAAAGCTTGGGAGCGTTTTTACATCCTTGTTATAATCTATTCTGACATGTTGTCTTTGTGCTGTATATGATAGCATTTTATTTTTTGAATCAGCTGCAATTTTCAATTATTTCTAGCTTCAGTTAAGGACAGTCCATGTAGTTAATCATAGAACCTCATAAGAACACCATGTCATTACACACAACAAATGTAAATTAGGGCACTTTTTGTGTACTAACATATATGAATCATGCTAATGGTTGTGTCAGGATGTGGATGAGGAGATTGAAGCCGAGTACAACATCCTGCGTTTGCTGTCCAATCATCCCAACGTGGTGAAGTTCTTTGGCATGTTCTACAAAGCAGATGAGCTCTCTGGAGGGCAGCTATGGCTTGTTTTGGAGGTACATTTCTTTAAAAATGCTTGGTTTTGCATTTTATTTGCATTATCCACATCCACATTTCAAAAGTTGGTCCTGAAAAATGTCTGAAATAGAAGTAGTTTACTGAAAATCTTTCAACAGCTTTTAAATGTCATTTAAGTATAGGTAAACCAAATGTAAGCAAAAGCTATTCAGAGCTATGGAGGAGGGTAAGATTTGCAATGAATAACAATTGATATTTTGAACCATTTCTCAAACAGACTGGTGCTGATTAGAGCTGGTCACTGCATGTTTTCACTGTAGTCAAATACATATTTGGGCCTAAATTTAAGATCCATGTATTTGATTACATATGTTTGATTTACATATAAAATTTCCATCCATTTGAATTACACAAATGAAATACACAATAAACAGCTTTATATATTTATCATCAATAAATCTTAATTGATATTTTGAACCATTTCTCAAACAGACTGGTGCTGATTAGAGCTGGTCACTGCATGTTTTCACTGTAGTCAAATACATATTTGGGCCTAAATTTAAGATCCATGTATTTGATTACATATGTTTGATTTACATATAAAATTTCCATCCATTTGGATTACACAAATGAAATACACAATAAACAGCTTTATATATTTATCATCAATAAATCTAATTTGTTTCAATCTCATACTGACTGAATATTGCTTGTTTTGCAGCTAGCCATATTTTAACCATGTTCACACTTTTAACTGAATAAATGTGATTGTTTTCACAATGAACAGATTAATATAGGATTAAAATATAATAATCAAAATATGATTATATATATATTAGAAATATTGTATATAAAATATATATTATTCAATGTTCTACCAAAGAAAGGAAGACTGTATGTTTGCAACGACATGAAGCTGAATAAAAGAAGACAGAATTTTCTTTAGCTGAACTATTTAATACGTATGCATAATATTATGTCTGATATTATGATATTATTACTGACGATAGTAACGCTGAATAAAAATGCTGTGTGGTGTGTTTTGTCATTTTATGACTCATAAAAAAATGCTTAGTCCTTACTAATGTAGTTTCTGTTGTTTGGTTGCCCTCTTCTCTGTAACTGCATCTATCGTTCTTTTCTCTCTTCCTTTCCTCATTACTTTCCCTCTCTGTCTGGCATTTCTCTCTGTTAGTTGTGTAATGGGGGTTCAGTAACTGACCTGATAAAGGGTTTGCTGATGAGGGGAAAACGTCTTGAGGAGCCCATCATCTCCTACATTCTGTATGGAGCACTTCTGGTGAGATACAGTACACACACACACACAGAGATACAAACACACACACACACACACACACACACACACACAGAGAGAGACACACACACACACACACACACACACAGACTGAAGTAATCTGCTCACCCCAGCACAGGGAACGCTGTCTCAGCGCTCTGACCGTGCCAGAGTAGTTATTTTGGGCCGTGATAGTGAGGAAAGACAGAGGGTGTCCAGCTGTAGACTTCAGGGGCCGATCAGAGGCAGTCTGGCCCTCAGTCCCCATTTACTGACTCAAGTTTCTCTTGCTTTATTTTCAGGGTCTCCAGCATCTTCACAACAACAGAATAATCCACCGCGATGTGAAGGGCAACAACATCCTCCTCACCACAGACGGTGGAGTCAAACTGGTGGACTTCGGTAATGGCTACTGCTGTTTTTCTTTCGATTGAAGAATTTTATAAGCATTTTTCTTCCCATACAACAATGGTTCATAGTGACAATGTTTGTCAAGCTCCAAAATGGACAACATACTAATTTGGAGCGAGATGAGAGTAAATAAGGAAATAATTTTCATTTTTAGGTGAACTGTTCTTAATGGGACACTCAACAGACACTGAAACAAAATTGTAATTGTTCACTGATCTGATCATTCCTGGAAAAAAAATAAAAGACAAAAAAACATTAATGCTAATTTGGATCAACTTTAGTTCCAATAAGGCTTTAACTAGTTTTTGATAGGAAATTATATATTTTTTGGACATTAGCTAGTTTTACTGTATTGAATCTATTGCTGCACGTAGCTTAAACAGTGCAGCAATGCTAAAATTAATATGAAAGTCCAATCCCTTGTGAAAAAGAAGTACACTTTAGCATACTTGTATGGAAATATGTACTTTAAAAGAGTGTACTTAAAAATTCAATCTGAATTGAATGCACTTGCGCACACGTTGATTACAATTTCAGTTTAAATTGACATTAAATGCAATTAGTTTTCAAACTTGCCAAGACAGAACTTCTTGTGGTTCCATCAAACCCATCGTTTCATCACAATTTCACCATCCAGTTAGGCACATCAACCATAACTCCTTCAAAAACAGCCAGAAACCTTGGAGTTGTGATTGATGATCAGCTGACTTTCTCAGACCACATTGCTAAAACTGCCCGGTCCTGCAGATTTGCTTTATTCAACATCGGAAGATGTTGAATAAGATCAGAAGATCAGGAAGATCAGGTCCTTTCTTTCAGAACATGCAACACAACTCCGTGTTCAAGCTCTTGTTCTGTCCAGGCTGGACTATTGTCTCAAAGAGACACAAAATCACTTTCACTGACTTTTACATGAAATGTTCCCTCCTGGTGGAATGACCTGCCCAAATCAATCCATCTTCAAGAAACAGCTAAAACCACATCTCTTCCATCTTTATTTGACCGTCTTACTCTAGAACTCTCTATTCTAATTATATTCTTAAAAAAAAAAAAACAGCTTTTTGTGTTCTTTCTATTTGTTTTCTTTTTATTTATTATACAATTAACAAAAAGGAAAAAATGCCTCTAACACTAGCTTGCTCTATTCTTTTTCTATTCTGTTTTCTTTTTATTTATTATACAATTAACAAAAAGGAAAAAATGCCTCTAACACTAGCTTGCTCTATTCTTTTTCTATTCTGTTTTCTTTTTATTTATTATACAATTAACAAAAAGGAAAAAATGCCTCTAACACTAGCTTGCTCTATTCTTTTTCTATTCTGTTTTCTTTTTATTTACTATATAATAAAAAAATTAAAAACCTTGCTACATGTGTTGCGTTAGGCTAACTGAGACTTGTTATAGCACTTGCGTATCATTGCTCTTTTGTTGATTTTGATTGCCTCCATTGTCCTCATTTGTAAGTCGCTTTGGATAAAAGCATCTGCTAAATGACTAAATGTAATGTAATGTAGAGTAGGGAAAGGTGCAGTTGGAGATCTTGGAAAATGCTAACTTTAGCCTGATAGCATTGAAAGCGAATGTCCCACCCTCCCTGAAAATCGCCATCATGTGTCATTCACCGGTGAGAAAACTTTATAGCACAGTTAGTAAAAGGACTACAATACCAAGAAGGAAGATCAGGTTGTTAATGTTTGTCTGCCATTCTTGCTCTGTCTGCACAGCAGTTACGTGAACGTGCTGATGACGTATCCTTTTTGCACGAACCGGGTGCGCAGAGGTATGCTAATGCTGCGTTCAAGTGCTCCTGGGACATTCGTACTTACGAGTTGACAAGTCGTAATTACGACGTCAGGTGCGTTCAAGTCCGTTTAGTCGGCACAAGATGGCGGTGTACCTTCTTTTAATAAATTACAAGAAAATACAACAGGGTCTGTTAACTCTGCTCATAGAAAATGAAGAGCAAAGAAATCGCATCAGGTGTGTTTTGCGTTTTTATTATTTTTAAAAAGTAATTTATGAATCCACTTTAATCTGTATCGCATAAAAACTTGGTATTAATTGTTATATTACAATCCTGCCACATTAAAAAAGCTTATTTTTTGTAAATAAAAAGACTGACAATGTCACTGCTTAATACCTATAAGTATTGCGATTTATGTTTTACTTTGGCAATCTCTCTGTCTACCTCTGTCAGACATGCAGTTCTACAGTACTTGTCACTGACAACCCACTAAACTATCAATTTAAACAAAAATTTACCGTCAACTGCAGACGTTGCATCCATCGATTCCGCCAGGTTTCTCATTGACACGCCCAAACTAGGAAAACTCGGGGCTTAAAGAACATTTTGAGTTTCCCACTCATAATAACGACTGGCGTTCATGTGCGTTCAACTCCTAAATGCGATCTATCCGACATGACTTGAACGCACCATTATACACATGTTGACAGACAGGTAGGAAAGTGGACCGAGCGTTTTGATTGGACGAACATTTCTTCGTCCTACGCCTTCCACAGAATATATAAATACATATAAATACATTTAGACCACTTAACTTAATGATTGCTATCGGGATGTGAAGAGACTTTCAACCAGCACAACAAAAAAAATTTTCTGAAGACAATCACCTATTGCACCTTTAAGTTCATCTTCATATGTAATTTCATAATCCCGTCTATTGTATTTGAAGTATGCTGCTGAATGTACTGACAAGTATAGTAAACTACAGTATACCCTAATGTCATTTCAGTGTATTAACATATTTTATAACAAATTTGTATAAACGTTTGTAATGATGAAGTTGCAATTTAGCACATTTAAAATATATGAACTTTAAATTTAATATTTAATAACAAATTTTAAATTAAACCACAACAAAATTATTAAAACAGTAATTTAAACTTTAAATCAAAACTATTAATTCAAATTTATTACAAAGTTCACTTTTTAAAGGGTTTTAAGACACATAGTTGTGAAAGTGTCAGTGTTGCGGGTAACGCTTTACAAGTAATGAGAGTCACGTAATCAGATTACTTTTTCAAGTAACTAGTAAAGTAATGCATTACTTTTAAAATTACAACAAAATATCTGAATTTTTTCAAACAAGTAACGCAAGTTACTCTGTTTTCATATTTCTCATCTCTAAAGCTCTCCTTTTCCCATGTTGAGAGAAATCGGGAGTGAGGTGCAGAGGCTTATTAATTTCACTTCTGGTGTAAAAGGGCTTTTACAGTTGCCAAAAATATACAGTGCCATGAAAAGGTTTTTGCCCCCTTCCTGTTTTTTTTTCTCTTTTTTTTGCATATTTGTTACACTTAAAAGATTCAGATCATTAAACAAAATTTAATATTATACAAAGATAATGCAAGTAAATACAAAATGCAGTTTTTAAATGATTTATTAAGAGAAAAAAGCTGTCCAAACCTACCTGACCCTACGTGAAAAATTAATTGCCCCCCTCCTGTTAAAACATGAAAGAACTACGATTAACCCCATTATTTTGGAAAGCTGAGTTAAATTTCACTAGTGACACACCCAGACCTGATTACTGCCAGACCCGTTGAATCAATAAATCACTTAAATAGAACCTGTCTGACAAAGAGAAGCATGCTTAAATCAATTTTATATTATACAAAGATAATGCAAGTAAATACAAAATGCAGTTTTTAAATGATTTATTAAGAGAAAAAAGCTGTCCAAACCTACCTGACCCTACGTGAAAAATTAATTGCCCCCCTCCTGTTAAAACATGAAAGAACTACGATTAACCCCATTATTTTGGAAAGCTGAGTTAAATTTCACTAGTGACACACCCAGACCTGATTACTGCCAGACCCGTTGAATCAAGAAATCACTTAAATAGAACCTGTCTGACAAAGAGAAGCATGCTTAAATAGCAACACATCATGCCACGATCTAAAGACATTCAAGAACAGATGAGAAACAGAAATGTATCAGTCTGGAAAGGATTATAAAGCCATTTCTAAGGCTTTGGGACTCCAGCGAACCACGGTCAGAGCCATTATCCACAAATGGAGAGAACTTGGAACAATGGTGAACCTTCCCAGGAGTTGCTGGCCTACCAAAATTACTTCAAGAGCACAACGACGACTCATGCAGGAGGTCATAAAAGAACCCAGAACAACATTTAAAGAAATGCAGGCCTCTCTTGCCTCAATTAAGGTCAGTGTTCATGATTCAACAATAAGAAAGAGACTGGGCAAAAACGGCATCCATGGGAGAGTTCCAAGGCAAAATCCACTGCTGATCAAAAAGAACACAAAGGCTCGTCTCACATTTGCCAAAAAAAATATCTTTATTATCCCCAAGACTTTTGGGCAAATATTCTGTGGACTGATGAGACAAAAGTTGAACTTTTTGGAAGGTGTGTGCCCCGTTACATCTGGTGTAAAACCAACACAGCATTTCATAAAAAGAACATCATACCAACAGTCAAACATGCTGGTGGTAGTGTGATGGTCTGGGGTTGCTTTGCAGCTTCAGGACCTGGACGACTTGCCATAATTGACAGAACCATGAATTCTGCACTCTATCAGAAAATCCGGAAGGAGAATGTCCAGCCATCAGTTTGTGACCTCAAGCTCAAGCGCACTAGGGTTGTGCAGCAGGACAATTACTTTTTCACTTAGTGCCAGGCAGGTTTGGACAGCTTTTTTCCCTTAATAAATAAAATCATTATTTCAAAAGTGCATTTTGAATTTACTTGGGTTATCTTTGTGTAATATTAAAATTTGTTTGATGATCTGAATCTTTTAAGTGTGACAAATATGCAAAAAAAACAGGAAGGGGACAAAAACTTTTTCACAGCACGGTAACTTTTGGGTTTTGTTATTAATTTTTTTTTAGCAAGCTCAGCCCAGGTGACAAAAAGTAATGCATAAGTAACATAATGCATTACTACACACACACACACACACACACACACACACACACACACACACACACAAAACTAAATAATGCAATTAGTTACTTTTTCATGCAGAAACTCAATATTGTGAT